TGTGTCCCCAAGCAGTTCAGGGCACAGGCAGAATCCAGACACAAATCACAGGGTCAACACTTCGTGGCTCACTTGATTCCATGTTTCCAAGCACCTCAGGGAGCACACAGGAGCCAGATGCAGGTTGTACTGGTGGTGATCACAGACCTCCCGTGTCTGTGACCTCCAGCAGGTCAGGGCGCAAGTAAAGCCCAGACGCAAACAGCGGTGCCAGCAGTTTGTGGACTGCCTCCTCTAGTACCTCAGGTGGCGCAGGGCACGCACAGGGAGGGCCCAGACGTGAACCCGGTGTTAGCAGTTCATGGGCCTTCTGGGTCAGGATCTCCTGTCCACACCAGGCACACAGAGGGTGGAGACTCAGACTGTTACATATAGTATTTTAATGTGCATGTGTATTATGAAAAGAAAAACTACTAGGCTGCATTCTGTGTTTTTATCTTACTTCCAGGTGGCATCAGCCCATGGAAAAAAAAAAATTAAAGAGCCTGTTCTCTGGCAACTATGTGCCCCAGATTTTCCAGGACAGTCTTAACATCGAATGTGTTTCCAATTTTTCTCATCGACCACAAAAATGCTCCGTATGTTTCAACATTTTTGTATCCAAATTCATCTCCCAATATTATTCTCATACACAAGAACTATCGCAAAACATTCTCCTGTGGTGTTGTCTGTAATTATCTTCAAAATACTTCAGCTTCTACAATAAATGCATGTCAGTTGGTTCTATCACCTCAGAAAAGCCAGTCTTTTGGAAGGGACCCTAGGTTGAGGGTTTCAATTCAGATAGGTGACTGAAGTCTACCAAGCTGACTAAATAAGTACCCTTCTGCCTCAAATGAACATCTCATGCACAGGACTGTGAAAGCTGTCAAAGAAAAAAAAACACACACACACAGGTGGGTAGGTAGGTCTTCCTTGGGCTTACAGAAAAGCCACACAATCCTTTCCATTAAAAAGTGTCTGCAAAAAGCGCCTGCCTGGCATGCACAAGGTCGTGAGTTCGGTTCCCGGTACCGGAGAAAAACCAAAAAAAAAAAAGTGTTTGCAAAGGAGACAGAATTCAGTAAGGTCTGCTTCTGTCATTATGCACTGCCTGGTAGCAACACTTTGGAGGAGGAAACGGAGAGCCCTTACATCTGTTATTACATTACTGAGCCCCACCAGAAAGAACCAAGTAACTGCAAACCATGACACATTGGTACAGGAGCTCCAAAGCTCTTTCCCACTATCTCAGCCTCAGAAACACCATTCCTTCTCTTCAAACACTATTAGCTAATGGTGAAGAGCAGCCGAGAAGGGGCTCAAAAGCTACAAGATTTCTGCAAAGCCAAGATCTTCAGTAATGAAAAAGGCCAAAGTTGACTTTTTATTGAATGGCATTTGGAATCTAGTTGCCCTATGTGAAGAATCTAGCAGGAAAAGTAGGGAAACTAACCACTAAATCATGTGCTATAAACTGGACCCAACGCCAGAGCAGGTCACTCAACTCAGGCATCACTGCACAACCAGTAGGACAGCTCTCCTTACAACTGCAGAAAGAGCAGGAGAAACAAGAGAAGAGGCAGAGAAGAAGACAACCGAGCAGGAAGAATGTGCAGCATCTACAGTTCAAGCCACTTCAAGGTATTATGTATTTTGTTTGAGGTAAAGCTTCAGATAATACCGAATCCAAGGCTGAATATGAATTATCTGCTTTGAATTTCTTTCATTAATACTGAAAAATGTATCATAGGTATGTATGCATATACTTGTAATCCCAGCATTCTGGAAGGCTGAGGCAGGAGGATTCCAAGGTTGAGCCCAGGCTAGGCAACTTACTACTTAGCAAGACCCTCTCTCAAAATGAAAAGCAAAAAGTACTGCAGATGTAACTTGGTGGGCAAAGGCCCTGGATTCAAACTCCAGCCCTGAAAAAGTAAATAAATAAAAATTAAAAATTATCAGCAGTGAGCACCAAATCTCTCTCATCCCTGGGATAACCAAACTAAAGCATAAATCTATATGGCTGAATATGACATAACAAAAAATGATGATATCAAAGCATATGCAATGACAATGAAAAGTGTTTGACATATTCATTACCCCTCCTTGATGGCAGGGGACCAACAGGGTAGTATATTTTCCTCTCATTTGGTTTTCTCATATATCCCATCTCGTAGATATAATCTCTATTGGTATTTTCTCCTGCTAGCAATTTTCTCTACATATTTAAATATGTGCTTATATATATATATAAAACAGTATCACATATATACTTAATATAGTCACATTATATACATACTCCATATATACACATACTTAATATAGCCATAAATGACAGAGATATTTAAAGGAAAATCTTTGGTACTTTCCAATTTTATGCATATATTAAGAATCACCACTTTAAACAAAATATGTTTACATCAATATTATTTTCACATTAGCTTAATTATGAAATTCCCAAAATTGTTCAAAATGAAAAAGGAATTAGGATAGGGGAAAGGGGACAGGAAGGAAGGGAAAAGGAAAGAAATGCAAGTCAGTTATACTACTAGTGTCTCTCAGTTCATGGAAAAGGAAGGTTTGTGCTGATATCAATTGGAGAATTTTTTAGGCCCATGTCTTGTACTCTGAGTAACTACTTTAAAGCTAATAATACGCAACGTATTAGTTATTGTTATTCTATTTTATTATGAAATTTTGTTTTACTTTTTTCCATAAAAAATACTGAAAATCTCCACATGTAAAAAAGCAATAATAATGAAACTCCCAGAGAAATAATATATTTTAGCTTATAAACAATATCCTTAAACCTGGCTTTCGATAATATCATCAATAAAAATAATGCAATGACAATATCAATTCAATTCAACAGGTATGCCTTCTATGAGCCAGGTACTTTGATAGATCCCGTAGGAAGACAAAGGTTCCTTCCAATAAAATTATGCAAATCTCTGCAATCTAACTATGTATTCACAGCTGTCAGTCTGGATGAAAGAATCTGGACTCAGTGCCTATCAGAAAACTTAGTCTAGGAAGCAGAAATAATACTGTTTGATTACACCTTAGGCAAATCTCAAATAAGCTGGATGCAGAGCAACAACAGACAAAGGTAAAGAAAATGAGAAAAGGGTGAAGTGTTTGCTGGGTGGTGAAAATGACCACAGTCAAATATCATCGCCGTACAAAAAGAATAACAAAGCCTGCACAGAGACCAACGCCTATAATTGCAGCACTCAGGGAGACTGAGGGAGGAGGATGGCAAATTCAAGTCCCACCTGGACAACTTAGAAAGACTCCGTCTCAATAAATTTGTTTAAACAGCCAAGGATGGACTGCCCCTGATTCAATCCTGGGGAGAAGAGCACAACCGTTAAAAAACCCAAAACGGAAATGGTGCCATGAAACATTTAACAAACACAGGTGACTAAGGCTCCATGACTAAGAGCATGTGGTAGACTGGAAACTGCACTTGTCATCCATTTGTTTCCGTTTAAGTTTTGTTGATGCTAAATTAGCAGTTGCCTTCGTGATTCCTGGTCAAATGGGTGCAGGCTCGGAAATACAGAGTCTGGTTTAAGTTAAATTACCTACTGGCACATAACCTCCCTAACCTTTAAGTTTACAAACTGCATTTGCACAAATTAGGCACAAATTCTAAGCTCTGCTGACTCAAATATATTATGGCTAGAAAGTTAAGGGAAAGATAAACATACAAGCCAAAGTAAGAAGCAGTTCTAACATTGAAAAGCAGCCTGCAAAGACGGGATCAATTGAAACAAGTCAGTCCGCATCTGTTTCGAATAGCTCTACTTCATCCTGTTTCAACACCAGAATCCAGTCATCCTGGCCACGCCTGCTGCCGCCTCCCGCCTATCATGCTCCAAGAGTTCATCATGCGGCTTGGCCAACCTGGAGAACTTCAACCTTACAAGCCCAGGAAGCCAGGAAAAGCACATGCGGGCATCACACTACAGCCCATATTTCAAAGTTTTGAGGCAACACAGAAGGAAACTTCAGCCAAAGACAACTCCTACACCCCTGACATTAGAACTGCAGACTGTGTCTGTTGTTTTTAAATAAAGTTTCCAATGAAGGTGTGCTGAGCTCACCAGGATTAAGAAATACATACATGTTAATCTTATTACTGCTTTCTCACCGGGCAGTCACATTTTCCTATTTACTGCTGACTGCAACTGATTAAGCAATCATCCTAAGTTACAGTTCCCAAAGCTATAGGTTTGAAGGATACTCATAAACTAAATATTTCCCCCCAAAACATTCCTGACATTCCATCCAAATTGTAGTGCAGAGCCCTCAAGATGTTTAAATATTATGACATGTACACATGTGCCTTGTGCTGAGGGGATGCAAAGCAAGAGGAATGCAGCACTCTGTAATTAAAGGGTCTGAGAAGTTTCAGGAAACTCTAAAGAATGTTGAGTCACGCCAGACCCAAGTTAAAATTACTGCATGTACAATCTGCATTCTATACCTAAGTTGCTGAATTGGAAAAGCTATTTGCCCCTTTCAAAGTGTCTTTAAAGCACACATAAATAGCATTTGCCCCACAAGTTCAACAAACCTACCCAGGTCCACTAGCTCCTCCTACCTCTGCTACGCCCTGAGGGAAAAGGAAAAGACCCTAAACCACGAACTCTCCAGCAAACCTAAGAAGTGGAGTTTCCTGATCTGTCCTTTCACAAATGTCTTTCCTGAGGAGCACACAAGCTGCAGCAATGGAAAGCCTGAGCAGCCAGTATGCTCCCCTGCTTCCAAACCACAACATGAAAACCAGCAGCCCAGCAGCTCTGGGGAGAAAGTCCCTGTCCTTAGAAAGGTCTTGATATTTTCACGTAGTTTTTATGCAGGTGACTCTTCAGATAGGGTTCTTACCTTTCCTCTTATGATTTAATGAGCTAGGAGAAGCAGGGGAAGGCAAGAGAGAACAGGGAGTAGGAAAAAGTGTGAAGGAGACCAAGACAAACATCTAACACAAAGACCAGTCCTTCAATCCTTACCAAAAGCCCTGGCTGGATCTCTGGGATTGAGAAACCTCTGTGGAATAGACGTGGTGTACTGGCTGTGCACAAGTTTCTTTTCTACTCTGTTTTTGCTGGCCAACAACTCCTCCTCCTTTCCTCCCATGCTTGCCAGAGGAGTGCTCTGCTTAATCTCTGAGGTGAAGAGATAACCTATGGAGTATTAAAATAAGTTCTGCATAAAACAAATTAGCTTGGAACATGGAACCAGACATGGATCCGAACTGACCTGGATTTAGGGTGTGGTGCTCTCAAGAAAGCAGCAAACCAAATGTGGTTATTCAGGGTACTCCCAAGACAGCCCCTTCCCATCAAAGTCCTGGAGTCTCCTTGGCATCTGTGCCAATTGGGTCTGGCTTTATGAAAGTTCCACAGCGGGTCAGCAAAGGTACCAAGGAGAATACAGAAAGGAAGGTATGACCAGAAGAATACTTAATTCCAGGTGCTACTCTCAAGGCTTCTGTATCTTCTGATCTAGTCCTCAGAAGGACTCTCCTGGAAACAGACAGCCCCGACGATCATACAAAGAACAAAACAAGGACACAGAAGTAAACCATAAGTCACAGATACTCAGAGGGCCAGAAACTCCTCAGGAACAGAAAGTCACTAGCTACAAACCTTCCAATTGATCCCCCTCCCTTTCCTGTCTACTCTGCACTGATCACCTCATTTTGATCACCTCATCTCTTGATGTTCTCCAAATAAATCATGCCCTTTCCCACCATGAAGCCTCTGTGCTTGCAGGACCCTCTGCTGAACGGCCTTGTAAAGCTCACCTGAGGATGGGATGGGTGCTGTTTTCCCTGGGGACAGCTCCCACCTCACCAAAGCCTCCACAGACACCAGAACTTTCAAAATGTCATCACAAATAGTCTGCTTACCTGGACTTAAGTCAATTTCAAACTGCCAGTAGCTGTGTTAGGTCTCAGTAGGCGATGCAACTCTAGCCACAGCATTCAGTAAGAGCTCAGAAAAATGAATCAAACATTGAAACACCAAAGCCAAAAAGTCAAATAAGCAGGCTGGATGCACACATGTGCGAACACACACACATTTCCAAGAGAAAACAAATCACTGTGTTTTCTTTCTCTACCTAAGCCTGCTAAAGAAAGAAAGTTCAAGTCATCTTTGAGGGCTTACAGTGAAGACCAGTGAACACTATGTACTGACACCTCAGCTTTGGGGATTGAGCCCTCACAGAAAGCTAAAATGTATAACCTTAAGCAAAGCAACAACGTATTTAAACTAATTATTAAACATAAAAAGTTTCTTATAAACATGTTAAGACACTTCCCCCCATCCTTTATGAACCACAAGAGATATGGTCATATCCAGGCTATTAGCAATCATATTTATTATGATGCTATGACCTCCAGAGGTGTCAGCAGCTGCTCAGGCCCTCTTCTTGATCCCAGAGTGCTCACAGCATGTTATCCTTAGAGTTCATCCTTCAGGTTTTCAACTGTGTTTTAGGCTGCTAATGTCTGAGTAAAGGGCTTATGTGTCCCCTCCCCAAGCTTCCAGGAAGCCACCTCTAATCAACTGTGGACTCAAATACCAGGTAAGAAAAGTGTTGAAAGACTCCTGAGTAAAAAGAAGAATACACAAGGGTTCCAAGCAAGGGGCCCTCTCACAAATACATCACTAAGAAAGGGTTACTGGTCTATCACACCAGGACAGTAGACACAAGCCATTACTGTCAGGAAGAGAAGTCAAGCCAAGATGACACCATGGCATTTCATCACTTCCTTCAGCAGACAGAATCCCACTGGCATGGAGGATGATTATAGACACTGAACTTTCTGCTTAGAATATTCAGGGAGAATGTGTTAGGAGCCACTTTTCCATCAAAAGCTATTAATAATGATTATGCCCCAAGTGGTGACACACACCTGTAATCCCAGCACTCTGGAGGCTGAGGCAGGAGGATCGTTGCGAGTTTGAGACCAGCCTGGGCTACACAACAAGATCAAGGCCAGCCTGAACTGCACAGTGACACCCTGTCTCAAAAAGACAAAAAAAAAAAAAAAAGATTATGCCCCAGCAGACAATAAGCAAGTGCCATTCTTAAAGCTACTAGCCACTTACTGGTAACACTTGAGAAAATTCAGTATTAAAGTAAGTTTTTCCATTTTAAAAAGTGTTTCACTTTTGGTTCTACAAGAGTACCCTAAAATACATACGTAATGTTTAATTAAATGGAGACATTAAATACCCTAGTTTTAATTAACCAAGAGATATCTGTCATTAATCCCTCTAAATTTAAGAGAAAAGCTTTATTTTTAACTACTGCCCGGAAATTTCAGTCTCACCAATGATGATACAACCCCAATACGATAAGTTTAAAAAGTGAGGCATTCAAGTCGGTATTTATTAGTTCATACGTTCTTATGTTTTCTTAGCATGGTCTATACTGTGTATTGGATTTAGAAACACAAAGAACAGAGCTGAGCCACTGGGGAGATATTAGTTTCCTATTACTGCTGAAACAAATTACCACAACCTTAGTGATTTAATGCAAATTTATTATCTGGTTGTCTGCAGGTCAGAAACCTTAAAGGCCTTATGGTCTACAGCAGTGATGGAGAACCTTTTAGATCTTTTAATGATAAACAGCCCATGGCAGCACCTACATCATAGGTTCACCACCACTGGTCTAGAGATTCCTCAGTTAAGCTGTCAACAGGGCTACGTTCCACCAGCAAACTCTCAAGGAAAACCATGGCAATGTCTTCTTTCTGTTACTAAAGGGCATCTGTATTCATCAGCTCATGGCCTGTTCTACCTGCTTCAAAACTATCACTGTAATCTCTGTTACTTCCTTCTCATCCTTTGTCTTCTTATCCTGGTCATTATGGTAATTATCTGGTCACACCAGATAATTTCTCCATCTCTAGATTCTTAATTTAATCACAACTTCCAAGTCCTTTACCATATGCTATGGTTTGAGTTGGTCCTTTAAGGGTTCATGTTGGAAACTGGAAAATCTATGGTGATGTGAGAGGTGATGAAACCTATAAGAGATAAAACATAAATGCCTGTACGCAAATATCACAAGGTGAATCCCACCAATGATTACAATTAATGAGTTAATAAAAAATAGAAGAGTGGTGAGAATAGTTAATAAACAATGTACTTTATACTTGAAATTTACTAAGATTATAGATTTTAAATATTTTCACTACAAATAAATGACAAGCTGGGTGGAATGGGACCTCCACTCCTAGTATTTTGAGGAATCTCCACACTGATTTCCGCATTGGTCACACCAGTCTACACTCCCACCAGCAGTAGAGAAGGGTTCCTTTTCCAACAGCCCCGCCAGCATTTGTTATTGGTTGATTTCTTGATGACAGCTATTCTCTCTGGGGTGAGATGAAACCTCAGTGTTGTTTTCATTTGCATTTCTTAAATGACCAATGATGTTGAATATTTTTTCATGTATTTATTCGTCATTTGTATTTCTTCATTTGAGAAGTGTGTATTCATCTCAGATACACATTTTTGGATTGGGTATTTGAATTTGGGGTCCTAAGGTTTTTTTAATTCTTTGTATGTTCTAGATAGAAGTCCTTTGTCTGAGGGACAGTTGGCTAAAATTTTTTCCCAATTTGTGGGTTGTCTTTTCACTCAGTATCATACCACAGCAATGTATGTGCACTCATGTTTATAGCAGCACAATTTATAATAGCTAGATCTTGGAAACAACTCAAATGCCCATCAACCATGGAAAGGATTAAAAAAGATGTGATATTTTTATATTATGGAGTGCTACTCAGCTATAAAGAAATAAACTAGAGACTTTTATAAGTAAATGGGTGCAACTAGAGACCATACTTGTAAGTGAAATAAATCAGACTTGCATGTGTAAACATCACACTGTCTCCTTAGTGTAAAAAACTGGAAGTGTAAATAAGATCCAAAAGGTACAACAGGTATCTTGAAAGGGAAAGAAACTGATTAAAAGGAAAGAACAACTGGAATGGGGGAAAAGAGAAAAGAAGGAAGGGAAAAAATATATATACACACAAAAAAAACAGCTAAAATAATTTTACTACTAATTTCTATTAGTTCATTGAAAAGAGCAGTTCATGCTTATTTTGTCTGCATGCCCATATCTGGTAATGTGAGCAACTACTTTGAAGATAACAATACACAATATGATAACCATTGCTATTTTCCTATCATCTTGTTTTGAAATTCTGTATTGTTTTTACTGTTTTTTCCTCTTTAAAATAAAGAAAACAAAGCAAACCAAAAATAAATAAATAAAAAGTATGTAAGATAATATAAACTTACCCATTCTATGATTATACATATTTTAAAACATCATGCTAGACAAATTTTTGTCAATTAAAAAAGAAGAAAAAACAGTAAAAAAGGGAAGCCTAATCAGAGGTCATAGGGGTCCCACCCTTAGAAAAGATTAACACAGCTCTAGTGGCACAGTAGTTACTTCCTGAGACAGTCAATTGTTACAAAAGAGCAAGTCCAGCCCCTCTCTACTCTCTGGCTTCTAGTCTTTATGTGTGATCTCTCCTTGCGCACAATCTCACCATGATGCCTTCCACCATGATATGATACAGCCACCGAGGCCCTCACCAGAGTTAGTGCAATGCTCTTGAACTTTCAAAACTAGCATATTATCTAAATAAATCTCTTTAATTTATAAATTTGTCAGGCTCATGTACTTTATTATAGAAATGGAGAACAGACTACTAGAGCATGAAAGATAACATGTTCACAGGTGCAAGTGTGGATACCTGGGGAAGAGGGAAAGTTTTTCTGGCTTCCATGAAGTGACTGACCACAATTAACCACAAATCCCTCCAAAATATATGCTCTTGGGCTGGGGATTTAGCTCAGCGGCAAAAGCGCCTGCCTGGCAAGCGCAAGGTCGTGAGTTCGGTTCCTGGTACCGGAGAAAAACCCAAAACCCAAAAAAAAAAAAAAAAAAAAAAAAAATATATGCTCTTTATTCATTAAATAAATCTCTCTGTAAATCTTACTGACTACAAAATTCCTAAAAGCTCAGTTATACACTAAATCAGATCACTGTACAAGTGAGCCACAAAATAAGAGAATGGAGAAGAGGCAGGGTCCTAACATTAAGAGACAGAT